TTTTCTTATGTTAATACCACGACACACAATAACCATCTACCTTAAATGGACCTTGGGTCTTGTATTGGGTGTGCATTAGTATTCATGTATCTATCTATCTATCTATCTATCTATCTATCTATCTATCTATCTCTCTCTCTCTCTCTATATATATATATATATATATATATATTATTTATATATATATATATATGCGAATTTTATAGTGTTCGCATCTGACCATGGTTGATTTGTCAGAGGCAACTTTATGAAGTTATCAGCCTGCAGAGGCGAGCCCAGTTTAGGACACCTTTGGAAAATGCCTGAGCTGCGGTTATGAATGAAAATGGGAATGTTCAGAAGTCGTCGATGTTTGTGCTAGCACGAAGTCACAAGTCATCGTGGCCGAGATCCTGAGTGTACTGGCCTGTTGAACACGCCAGATCACGCTCTCTTCTAGAAACTGTTATCATGTTCAGTTGGTTACTATGACATCTCATAAGTCCCTACCCCAAAGTGAATTCATCTTGCGTGTTTAGCTTCCCACCCCCACCTAACCTAACCAACCACAGCTCATTTACTCCCTGAAATGGAGACGTATTTTTAAAGTCAGCCACACACTTTTCGCTAAATTAACATTGATTCGAGGTTAGTAAGTACTAAGAATCGCTTTTTTCTTTGATGCTCTCTTGATGTACTTTTTATTTATTTTACTTTTTTTAAAAATTTTCAGACCAGTTAGGTTAATTTGTAAATATAAAAATTGTGTCATATACGCGTATATATCGTGTATAATTTGCCTGACTTCGGGTTGCGTTGACCAGTGCGGGTAAAATAATTGCTCGTTAATCGCATATTGTTTTAATAGAGGACAATGGAATTTATACTTATTTAAAACTTAAAAAAAAACAACAAAAAAAAACACTAATGATCTTACTCTATTCCTTCACCGTAACTATGATAAAAAAGACCCTTTTACACACAAATAGATTTCATTTAACAATCAGCCTAATGAGCCACGTAACAAAACACATCATCCGTATTCTGATGAATAGAGCGCGCAGCAGAATCAGGTCAGAGATAGGACAAGAACAGTGTGGGTTCGTTAAAGACACCGGAACAAGGAACGCAATATTCATGCTCATAATGTTATCAGAAAGAGCGATACAAATGTAGAAGGACGTGTACCTATGTTCATAGACTACGCAAAGGCGTTCGACAAAGTACGCCACAAAGATCTATTGAAACTGTTCAGCAACATTGATGTACTAGGAAAAAATATTAGAATAATTAAGAACCAATACTGGCATGTATGTGTATAGAGAATGAGTTCAGCGGATATACAAAAAGAGAAAAGGGCGTAAGGCAAGGATGTGTCTTCTCACCGGACTTATTCAACCTATACAGCGAAGTAATTTGGAGAGAACTGAAAATCATACCAGGATTTCTTTGGTAACAAAGAAAAGAGTACTGATCTGCTACGTGATATCTGGCCTCCTTTACGGTATCGAATGTTGGACGGTCTCCTCAAAGATGAAGAAGAGACTCGAGACAACAGAGGTATGGCTCTACACACGGATGCTAAGGATATCATGTACCGAGCGTGTGAGCAACGATGATATTTTGGAGAGGATGCAAACAAGGAGGAAGCTTATACTTAACAGCAAGAAGAGGCAGCTGAAATTTCTGGGACACATAATGAGAAAGGAGGGCCCGGAGAATCTGATACACAAGGGTCGAATAGAAGAAAAGAGAGACAAGTGAAAGCAACGCATGACATAACTGGAGGGCTTAAGCAAGTGGATGACAGAACGTAGTCTGGGGGGTGGTGGCAGAGGGACGAAACATTGAGGGCTACAAGGGATAGGGGGAAGGGACACAGCACATAAAAAGCGACACGGCACATCTCAAAATAGTTGCAGTATAAACCACAGGCGTATTCTTTGGGTGTTGAAGATACAAAATTTGTGCCTGGGGAGGCGTCTGCAACAGAGAGTAGCTAGCTGCCCCTGCAGAAGTGTTTTCTGGGAAACACGAATAGCCGGCCATTCTAAATAGTCGCTCCGAAATTGAAGCCTACTGTTCATACATTAGAGGCGGATGTAGATGGTGTGTACGTGTGTGCGTGAGAAAGAGAGAGTGAGAGAGAGAGCATGTGTGTATGCATGTGCGTGAATGAGAGAGTGTGTGTGTATGTGTCTTGAGAATTTTTGAAAAAGAGTGCATCATCTGGTATGATCCCTAGTAAGCTCAAAACCTCGTTTACGATGAGTTGTGATTTTGTACTGACGCAAGTATCAACGGCTTGCGAACAGTTTCGTCTACTCAATTTTATTCACTAGGCTTGGTTCGACTCGTGGTATGTCTTCTAGGCACTTCCCAGCGGTGCCGCACATTGGGATCATCTTACCAAGCTGAGATTATCAAGAGGTCACCACCCTGTCAAATCGACCATGGTCATATTCGAACCTGCTTTCATGGCTTTAATGCTAACGTTCGAATCGAAAGAATGCATCATAATCGTATGTAATTACTTTTAGATCCATTAGAATTTTAAATATGTTAATTAAACTTCATATCTGTTTCATAGATTTGGTTTTCGTAGATATTTATGTAGCAGAGCCACCACAAAAGTAAGGCATTCCATAAACTAAGTGTTCATTGAATATAAGGCTCAAGAGGCACTCGATATAGATGTTAATTAGTGAGATTGTTGTATGAACCTAAGAGGAGGAGCTAAGAAGTGCAGATTATGAGGATAGACAACGGTTGAGCCTACACTTGAATAGGTTTAAGATTGTAGTAATCGAGGAAGAATCCTCTTGAAAGTTTGTTTCGCAGCAGTTCTCGGGAACAAAAGCTGTCGGGGTTGAAATTTCTTCTTATCAATGGAATATGAAAGAAATGGGGATAATTCGTCTCAGAGTTTTAGCTGTGAAGCTCTGAACTGGTGAAACTAATAAACGTAGCTCGTCAGAATATTTGCCTTCGAAATAGCGATAGAGTGGTGAGAGGGTTGCAAGATCATTTTCTTGACCCTCATTCTCCGGTTTTTGCCCTTATTCCTTCGTTCAGCTATTTGTACGACAACTGGGAAAGGGTTAGGATTGGAGAACTATTTATCATTTGGAAATTGAGGGTTGGTTTGGTTGATTTTGTTTAGCAGCATATCAACACTTCTATGGGATATTTAATGCCGGAATCTAAATATTTTGAACATTATTTTATGGCTTCAACTAAATATTTTAAACGTAATTGTATGTCTTCAACTTCAAACAAAATGTATTTTTGAACATTTTGCTATAAATATATATTGTTGGACATTTTGCTATAAATATATATTGTTGGACATTTTGCTATAAATATATATTGTTGGTCATTTTGCTATAAATATATATTGTTGGACATTTTGTTATAAATATATATTGTTGGTCATTTTGCTATAAATATATATTGTTGGTCATTTTTTATATAAACATCTATTGCTGGTGTTTTACTATAAAAATGTATTTTTATACTTTTATGGCGTTTTGTTCGGGAGTTCACTTTTTCCCATAGCTGGGACCCTAACAGGTGCTGCCACCCCAGGCCAAGGTGTGCCTGGGAACAAAAGCAGTTAAGAGGTGGTTTCACGCTTCTCTAAACATCGAATCTGACAATCAGAAGCCTTGGTGCTGGATGCAATTTATCGTCACATCCAGAACAAACATATTTCAGAAGCTAGAGGATAACTTAGACAAGGATGACAGTGAAGACACATTGTCAACTAGAATATTATTTGGATTTATGTCATGAAAGTTCTTTTATGTAGGTCGTTTTGTTATTTATGTGTGGCAGCATATCAACAATTCTATGGCTTATTTAATGCCGAAATGTAAATATTTTGAACACTATTTTATGGTTTGAAATAAATATATTTTGAATGCAATTGCGTGTCTTGAACTGTAGATAAAATGTATTGTTGGTTATTTTGCTATAAATATGTATTTTTAGTCATTCTGCTACAAAAATGCATTTTTATGCTTTCATACTGTTTTGACTTTTGTTTGGGGTTCACTATTTGTCCATAGCTGGGAGCCTAACAGGTGCTACCACCCCGGGAACAACAGCAATTAAGAGTTGGTTCCAAGCTTCTCAAAACCACCAATCTCCTGATCAGCGGCCTTGCTGCCGGATGTAGTTTATCGTCATACCCAGGAGTGTTTGAAAATGGAGAGAAGAATAACGTGTAAAAAGATAGAGAAAGAAAAGAGAAAGCGTAATGTGAATAGCTGATGACAGGAACAGTCTAGTGAGCCTGTTTGATTGTTTAGATATTCGGGGATCCCTTATCGACGTCGGTGGCCAAAATTTCGAAAACTGACATTCAAAGCAGGAAGCTCTTTAATACTTGTAATATTAGCTCAGCACAATCATTATTCCTATTTTCACTATTTGGTCTTTTATTGGACGACTTTCAATTTAGTAAATATCTATAAAGAGGAACGATTTTCTTCTATGTAGATGTGAGTTTCTATCTAGATTAATAGAAAGATACATATAAAATACAAGCCCGCTATAAATATGATTAAGATGAGGTTTGAATTTTTTAAAAGAATATATATATATATATATATATATATATATATATATATATATATATATATATATATATATGCATGCATGTGTGTTCGTGCTTGCGGAGAGTAACATTATTTAAAGAAAAAAAGATCTGATATCCCTGCATATGAATATCTATTCTGGCTGATATTACGCAAGGGAAAGTAACTTCCTGATTGGCTGAAATGACTAATCTGACATTTTTTTTATCAGCAGCCATCTTAAATACTGAATTGGCTAATAAAAATGAATAAAAATATTCAAGGTATGATAAAATCAATAATGACATCAGTGACTCTCAAATAAAAAATATAGCAACTATAGAAGATTATTAAATTCTTTCATTGGTTTTTAAGAGCAAATCATACAGTTGAAATATTTTAATCATATGAAATATCTAATATTGTTTTATACATACATATATGAATGCCTACTCGTTAGCCATTATTTGATATCGTCTCTCATAGTTTCTCCAGTGAGCAGCATAAATGTTTTTAGGCTCACCCAGGACCTAGACACACTGCCATACAGTTATTAAGTTTCTTTCAGTATCTTTTTCGATCATTCTCTAGTGACAATACTTACGTTTACACAAGAAGACATAGTCTACATTATTGGAAGCAGGGTGACTTCTTCTAGACAGATGATTTAACAAAGTCTATGTCCCGTTCTCGTGCAGAGAGCTAAGCAGTTACTTGTATCTATCTATCTATCTATCTATCCTCAGGATCAGAGTGGATGTGAGAATAATATCAACTGAGAGGGTGACTCCACACTTCAAAGAATTCGTGCCACTGGATATATTGTAATGTCACGTTTCGCTTTTATTAAAGCTTCCCCAGAGTCCGAAATATGCAGAAGAAAAAGAAAGAAAATGCTACTATTTTTCGGTTTGTTTTGTTTTCTTTTGTTTTAAGGCATATCAACCGCAATGGGTTATTTTATTTTTGCACAAATGTACTGCTGGTACTAATTTTTCCCAAAATGTATTGCTGGTATTAAAATTTTTATACTTTCATAGTGTTTTGACCCCCTTTTGGTGGGTTAGCTATTTGCTCATAGTTGGGGACCCGATTAGTGCCACCAACCCGGGTCAGGGTGGACCTGGGAACACCAGCAATCAAGAGGTAGATCCATCGCTCCTCAAAATCTCCTGATCAGAGGCCTTGCTGTCAGATGTAGTTTAATGCCTTACCCAGGACGCAGATGAAGTTTACCGTCATGCACAGGACGGTGCTATTTTTCATTTTTGTGTTTGTTTTTCATTGGTTAAGCAGACCTCAGGCGAATCTGTTTTGTCAAACAGCGTTCGTATGTATAATTCATATGTGTATGTGCATCAAAATTCCAATTTTTTCATGCGGGATTTGTATGATAAAGTATATTCGTGTGTGTGTGTGTGTGTGTGTGTGTATTAGGCATTTTTAAAAAAAATTCTGGTATTTAAAATTTTTTGTGTTGTTTGTTAAGCAGATTTCACGTGTATCAGTCTTGTCAAGCAGCGTTCGTGTGTATATGTTGCATCTTGTGTTTTCGTGATAGCAGAGGGAAATAAATAAGGAAGACAAACTCGTAGGTAAGTAATGAAATAGAAGGTTTACTACACGAAGGTACAAATAGCAACTGACCTAATGCTAACTCTCCCCCACTCCGCTTATTTACATATTTATGTCCTATATGACAGTATAATTCTTGTGTATATGTGTATTATAATTCTAGTTGTTTATGCAGATTAAAATATATATTTGTGCGTGCGTGTGTGTGTGTGTGTTTCTAGTAGACATTTTTATCCGTGTTTGGTTGTTGGCCGAATGTTGATTTGGGGACGTTTTGCATGAGAGGGAAATATGTTTTTAAGTTACATTGGTTGTAATAGTAGTAGGCAAACCTATCCTAGACTCTTTAAGTACGGATTGTATGAAATCTTATTTGCTTGACAAGACAGATGCACCCGAGGTCTGATTAACCAACAAAAAGAAACAGCACAAAAATTTAAAATATAAGAATTTTCTTTTTCTCCTCTATATTCCATTCTCCGAGGAAGCTTTAATAAAAGCGAAAAATGTTAGATCTATAAACATTTCATATTTGTTCCTTATCCTACCATTCTGTCGGATTACGATCTACATTGGATCCCAATTTATATATATATATATATATATATATGTTATGAAAGGGACTAAGTTCGACAATTATTTTAATATATTTCATTGTTATACGTTATTTATATAGACACAAATATTTAGGTAAATTCTCTGTTTTTAATAAACAGTATTAACAACATTTACCGGCCTGAATGTCAGAGAAATTTCATAGAAATATGTCTTCTCCGACAGGAATAGAACCTGTATTCTACACAGAACAGTCATATAGCCTGACGTGCTATACCAGTTTAGCTAAGAAGAAAGCGTTTGCTTAGCGATGTCGAAATAAATTTTCTCAGAAATTCAGGCCGGTAAATGTTGTTAATACTGTTTATTATAAACAGAGTATTTACTTTAATATTTGTGTCTATATAAATAACGTATAACAATAATATATATACATACGTATATATCTCATAAAATATAGTTTTAAGGTAAGTTATATTTATGTCTAAAAGTGTTCAATATCAGGGAAAAAAAGCGTATGTAAATATAAAGTGGACACTGAAGTCAACACCGAGCGACGGCAATCTGTTTTATGGTCGAGCGTAATCTTTAGACCTGAAGACATTACTAAACAAATTTTCTTAGTAGCAATGAAATAAAAATATATATAAAAAAAATGAACAGGGCTTCTTGATATTGTACAGTTATATTTTCTTAAATAATATATATTGGTAGTATCTTTATTCGGCATAAAAAGAACACAAAAACGTCACTATCGTTCATTTTTTTAAATTTGACAGCTAATTTTATTGACTTCATTTTAAGTATCAGTCAAAAATTAGATTGTTAAAACTTAAGTGACTGCTAAAAACTATTTTAACAATGGAAATATTTTACTTACAAAGAATTTTGCTTATTTTCTATCCTTGTCAAGCATTTTTCGATCTAAATTTTATAATCTAAATCATTCTCAACCGAAAAACGAAATTGTATTTTTCTTAAAATTCATAAATATTGCTCTGATTACTCGATTTATAAAATATGAAGAAAAATGACTTATAAGTTTTGAATGATTAAAATTTCTTTTATAAGATCGATTTTATAAATTTTGTATGTATGACTGGAGTTTTCGTTTGTAAACGGATTTTAGAAGGACGATTTTAAAATTTTAATACCAGGAAATGTTCCAAGAGAAATTATTTTCTGTAATTAAAAAAAAATTTATCGTTAATATGATTCCATAAAATCTGATAATTCTTTCGAAATAATATTAATTAAAACGATTACGCGTCGATACCATCTGCTTGTTTCTTTTAAATAAAATATGAAATTAAAATTGTTATATATATATATATTTACATAAATTCTCATTAAAATTTTGAATTATTAATAATTCCTTATTTTAATCACAAACACATACACATAAATTGTTTACATACAGAGAGCAATTAATTATATATGTATACAATGACATAAACATGATACATATATATATGCAATATATATGATTACTATTTCATAAAATTTATATATATTACATACTTTTTTTTGATTTTTAAGAAAATTTATCATTTGTATTCCAGAATAGTTTTTATTTATATATAGTTTATATTTTATTTATAGCTAATATTTTATATTACAAATGAATTTTTGTTGAAGAATCGTTCAATTTTAGATTATTATAAATCTAGAATTTTTTAAAATTCATTTTCCTTGAAGGCATCTACGCGAAATCAATTTAATAATCAGCTTATTATTTATACAAGCAGAGAAAAACAATTTTAAGTTGATTTTTCTTTACAAGATTTATTTTCTAAATAATTCTCACGTGGTTTTAATATACATTTTAGCAGGTTTAGCTTTTTGTAAATATTTCATTTCAAAATTATCTGAATTTGTATTTTTAATTGGTTTTGTTTAATATTCTTTTTTATTAATGCAATTCTGAACATGCGATGATTTCATTTTAAATATTCACACAGTTTTTGATTTTTCTAGTTATTTTATTACTAGTATATTACCTGTCAAAAACGACAGCTTTACGTTCGTTCTGGTTAAGCTAGATGCAATATCTGTGCACTCTGCGCTTCCCTGTAACATCTGCTTAGTAACAGTGCATTATCTAGGTGCTCTGCTAATGTCACTACCTGGGCCTCTTACAAGGATCAGTTTAATAATTATGCGTTCTGCCTTGGATCAAAATATCTTTCCTCCGCCCCACATCAATACAGTATTTGTGCAAGCTGTGTAAACTGTTACAAATTACACACACACACACATATATATATGGATTTATTTTGAATCCAACATTTTTCCAAATAACAAAATAACATTGGAAGTAATAATATATATATATATATATATATATATATATATATATATATATATATATGTGTGTGTGTGTGTGTGTGTGTGTGTGTGTGTCTGTGCATGTATAAATAATAAGTATATTATCATAAAATTGTTATATAAATAATATGCTATTATCATAGAAAAATAAGCGCGTGGGCACGCACGCACACACGCCATACACATACATATATATATATATATATATATATATACAGTGTAACCTGGATATAAGAGACCCGGATATAAGAGAGATTTTCTCTGGTCCCAAATTAGAGCCTGTGTTAATATAAACAAAATAGACCAAACCCGGATATAAGAGAAACCCGGATATAAGATACTTCTTCTACGGTCCCGACAACTCTCTTATATCCGGGTTACATTGTATATATATATATATATATATATATATATATATATATATATATATATATATATATATATATATATTATTTTATTCTTATGGAACTTGTGGAAATCGCTCAATATCAGTGATAGAGCTAATATAATAAGTTGTATGGATATGAGTTTGTGACTTTGGGTTCACGCATCTGATGATCGCAAAAGTGTGAAACCTAGGGTCACAATCTCATATCCATACAACTTTATATACATACAATATATATATATATATATATATATATATATATATGTGTGTGTGTGTGTGTGGAATTGATTTTTTAAAACTTTATAATGCAACATTATTTTTTTGTTACTGTATATATTATCTTTAGAGGATACACGTATTTTTCTTTTTTTAGATTTTTTTTAACAGTATAATTTTCGCGTACCAGCCTAGCTCTTTCGAGTCACATGACCTTAGAGACTCTCGAAAAATCCATTGCAATTATACTGATAAAAAATCCCACCAAAACGGGTATCCATCAAATATAACGTATATAGTTAATTTTTATTATTTTAAACATAATTTTTTTTCAAATAAAAGTATTCTGATAAAATAATATTTTACCTATATCTTATGTATGCTAATGCTTTTTTATTCAGCTTAAAATACATAAAAATTATCAAATACTACAAATCATATATTCACAAATTTTCGGACGTTGTACGTTCCGGCCTTGTTCAGGTGATTGGAATTTCGAACCGAAACCTTTATTTCGTCCACCGTGATAGATAGTTCTAGTCCCCATTCCACAAGGACACATGGACAAGTGGATAAAGTCGTTAGTTAGAGCCAGTGACTAGACCCAAAGAGTTATGAGTTCAATACCAGGGTACAGCAGTAGCGAACCAAAACTTGGAGAGTTGACTTAAAGGGAAACAATTGAGACATGCGGAAGATGTATGGCACGTGGAACTA